AAAAAATGGGCAAAGGACATAAACAGACACTTCACCAAAGAAGACATTCAGGCAGCTAACAAATACATGAAGAGATGCTCGCAATCATTAGCCATTGGAGAGATGTAAATCAAAACTACAACGAGGTACCATCTCACCCTAGCAATAATGGCACTGATCAGAAAAACAACAAATGCTGGGAGGGTTGTGGGGAGCTTGGAACTCTTACACACTGCTGGTGGGAATGTAAAATGGTACAGCCAGTATGGAAAACAGTATGGCGCTTCCTTAAAAAGCTAGAAGTAGAATTACCATATGATCCAGCAATCCCACTCCTAGATACATATCCTAGAGAGATAAGAGCTGTCACACAAAGAGACATATGCACACCCCTGTTCATTGCAGCATTATTCACAGCAAAAAGATGGAAACAACCTAAAATGGCCGTCAACAGATGGTTGCATAAACTGTGGTACACAGTGGAATACTACGCCACGATAAAGAATAATGATGAATCCGCATAACATCTCACAAAGTGGATGAATGTGGAGGACATTATGTTTTGTGAAATAAGTCAATCACAAAAGGACAAATATTGTATGATACCATTATTATAAAAAGTCAAGAATAGGTTTACACACAGAAAGAAACATTCTTTGATGGTTACCAGGAATAGGGGGAGGGGGGAATCACTAACTAGATAGTACCCATGTACAGGTGTTAATTCTGGTTAAGGGAAAGGCAGTACCAGTATGGAGGAAGTCAGCACAACGTGACCAAGCACAGGAAGACACTGAGAGATACGCAAGAATAAAGGGCAACTGCGGTAAATACTATAGCTTATACAATCCTGCAACAACAGTAATAACAAACAGTACTTTGTGAGTAGTTACATAGGCTAGTGTGTATGCCAAATAGGTGAGGAGATCATACACTGCATGTGTATTTAAGTATGGTTGTGGATATTTCTACATACATATTTATAAATGCAGCATGTATACTCATATGTATAATAGAGCACATAGAGGGTACAGTTAGAGAAACTACTTAGACATCAGGACTGAACAACTGAACTTGAAGGCTAAGGACCATAGTCTCAGGGGACATACAGGTCAATTGGCAAAACACAGTTTGTAAAGATAAAGTTCCATATCCTAGCCTGGTGAGGAGCATCTGGGGTCTTAAAAGCTTGTAGGAGGCCATCTAAGAGCAACTGTTGGTCTCTTCCTGCCTGGAGCAATGGATAATGAAGAAAACTGAAGATTCAAGGAAGCAATTAGTCCAAAGAACCAATGGCCCACATGAACCACTGCCTCCTCTAACCTGAGACCAGAAGAACTAGATGGTGCCCGACTACCACTAACTGGCCACTCTGACTGGCATCACAATAGACGGTCCCAGTTAGAATGAGTAAAACATGTAGAACAAAATTCAAATTAAAAAAAAAAGAAAGACCAGACTTACTGGTCTGAAGAAGCCTGGAGGAACCCCCGAGACTATTGCCCTAAGACAACCTTCTTCTAACTTGAAACTGAAGATACTCCCAGAGGCCGCCTTTCAACCAAATAATAGATAGGGCTATAAAATAAATAAGAACACCTGTGAAGAGTGTGCTCCTTAGAATAATCAACCATACGAGACCAAAAAGACAATGTTTTTCCAAAACCAAAGATGAGAGGGCAGGGAGGGGCAGGGAAACCGGTCTAATGGAAATGGGGAACCCCGGGGGGGAAATGGTGAGAGTACTGACACATTGCAGGGATTGCAACCAATGTCACAGAACAATTTATGTAAGAATTATTCATAAATAAAATGTTCAAAAGAAGAAAGAAAAAAAGCATAGAGGATAGTATGAAAATGTCAAAGATATATGCAAAAAGTATTTGGGAAAACAACACCATTTTTAAAATCAAGATTTGAGTATAAACTTAACTGGACAATTTCCTATTGATAAGAGTATTTTATGTAGGCTCTAAGGAAATTGAAAGGAGTGTTTTCCTTAATGGAGAAGCTTCTCAGGATGAAAGTACAAGTTCGTTTTTGTGAGACTCTTAGGCAATATTCCATCTCTATTTAAAAATATATATATTTTGGCCATCCATTATAGTTGTGATGTTTACGATTTCTATGCAGAGTTTAAATTTTCAAGCCTTGTACAGTAGACAGTATATATTTCTCTCTAGATATTAAGAGCTCAGTGTGGGTGACTACTGCCAGAGGCCCACTGTGCCTGAGTGATGCCTTTGTGGTCTGGTTAGGTGTCCCACAGGCAGAGATAGATGGTATCAAAGAGAGTAAAGAATAAGTTATTCCATTTAGCTGTTTTCTGAAAATTTTAAATATAGCTCTAAATTTTGACATCTAAAATAACCTTTACTAATTATAATTTAAAGCAAGACTTAAAAAATCTAAGTACCTGTGTACTGTTAGGAACTCATTTTTTTTTTATTTACTGCTTAAACTCATCCTACTTTCCTGTAGACTTGAGTAAATCTAAAACTTTCTGACTCTCACAGCTAACCCAAATTATGATAATTAGAAACTACAGTCATTGACTGAGTGGAAGGACTAGCTGTGAATTGAAATTTTGGGTTCATAATGTGCTCTGTCAGCAAAGGCTTATTTAAAGAGGTTTTTTTCCTCCTCCTCCCTGTAGGAAGATAAGAATATCAGATGGGCATCCAGATGGGATTATATTTTGGAATCTATGCCTCATACCCACATTCAGTGGTTTAGGTAAGAGTACACTTAACCTGCTTTCTGTTTTGTACTTACTGTAATATTTGTTCCTTTGACCATCTCCTTTGCTCTCTAATCCTCTCCAGTTATTCAGAAATCTAGGCTTTTGAATCACGTAGACTTGAGTTCAAATCCTGGCTTTAAGACACTGATTGTGGGTCAGGGCAGATCACTCATTTTTTAGAGTCTGTTTATTTGTCTAGAGATAATTACTTCATGGGATTGTCACGAGAATTAAATTAGATAATTAAATATCGAATTTAAGCAAGTTACCTATCATGTAAGAGTGCTCCATACCTGTCATGTAAGCAGCTATTATTGTTATTACTATTTTTTAATTATTCTTTTCAAAGCTTGACTCAAAACTTTTATCTAGAAAGCTATTCACGGTGCCATTACTCTCCTTTTCCTATCTTGCTGACTAATCTTTTTGATACTCATTAATTTGCCACATAAGTTCGTTCTTCAGTTAGTTTATTGAGGGTAGGGACCAGTTTTTTCTTAATTTCTTGCAACTTGTGCTGCAGTAATTTGGGGGCAGTAGTTATTTAATAATGTTGACCAGACAGAAAAATTCTAGTTCTAAATAGACTACAGAATTGTACTGTATTTATGATAAGTTTATAAACTTATGAATCTACTAGAAGGAAACATGGAAGAAGACAATTCGTTGAATTTGTTGGGTTTTAGATAAAGTTTAATTTTGATTTTGATCAGTGCTGTTTAATGTTACTCGATAAACAGTTTAAATAAGAGTTTCGCTACTCCAAAGATGAAGCTAGAAATTAATCATGGTTTGCTTATTTCTACAGCATAATGAATTCCCTGGTAATTGTCCTCTTCTTGTCTGGAATGGTAGCTATGATTATGTTACGGACACTGCATAAAGATATTGCCAGATATAATCAGATGGATTCTACGGTGAGTGGAAACATTTTAACTACTCTCTGGCCAACAACAGCCTTTGTTTTTACTTTGGAAAAAGTTTAAATAGCTTTAGACAGAATCTGCTTCTATAACAGCCTTCCCAAAAGTTATCTTGAATTCACATTTTCAAATAAGAAAGCGATACTTAAGAATTAGTGTCCTCTAGAAATTTCGTCATCACAGCATCCTGGAGAAGGAAAGAGGTTCTCAGAGGTAAACTGTTCATAATCTCACCTATGTTGGTAGATTGGTGCAGGATAGGTGTAGTATACAACTATGTCCTCCTCCTTCACTCGTGTGCCACCAGCTTGGTCAGATTCTCCATTCTCAGCATACACCCTTGTTAAATGGCGGAGTTGAGTGGAATATCTCCCAAGCAATATTTATTTGTGTGTATGTATAATTTTTTTGAAGTTACTTTTAACTAAGTTTTTAATCATTTCAGACTTTTGGTATATTCAAAGCAATTTAATTTATTTATTCTCAAACATTTTAAGTTGCATAATGTTATGCATTTTATATATTTTCATTTTATAGCAGCAAACTAAAAAAATTTCCACAAGAATCACAGTCATTTGTAATAAATTTAGAAACTCAGATTTTTATTGTTTTCTCTTCCCTGATTTCTTCAGCCTTTTTTCTCCCAACCTTTCCATCCTGTTCTAGGTAGAAAAAGAACATGTTAACATTTATAAACTTTTAACATTTCTACTCAAGTCTTTTTTTTCTGATAAGTTGTATTGGTTATAGTAAATATTATTCAATATGTCTTATTAAATGTTTTATTAAAATAATTTCAAGGTACTCTGTTCATAATTGGTTACTCCAAACAATTGCTAAGTTAGTAGAATTTTTTTCTTAATTTGTACAGAGACACCCTATGGAATATGGCCCGTAGCAGCCCTGCTCCCACTCTTGCGCCCTCTCTTTTCCTCCCTCCAGTCTCTTCAGCATAGCAGTCAGAGTAAACCTGTTATAGCTTGAGTGAGATCATGTCACTCCTGATCACAGCACTCTAGTGGCTGCCCTTTTAACTCAGAGCCAAAGTCAGAGTCCTTATAATGCCTCTACCAAAAAAAAAAACAAAACCAAACCCGTTGCCGTCGAGTTGATTCTGACACATAGTGACCCTATAGGACAGAGTAGAACTGCCCCCATAGAGTTTCTAAGGAGCGCCTGGTGGATTCAAACTGCCGACCTTTTGGTTAGCAGCTATAGTTCTTAACCACTACGCCACCAGGGTTTCCATAATGCCTGTAAGGCCCTGGATAAGCTCATCCTCCAAAACTCTGTTCCAGCTGTCCTGAGCAAGGTGCTCCTCAGGCACACCAGATGCTGTCATATCTTCAGTATTTCAAACAGTGCCCAGCATATAGTTGGTGCTCAATAAATATTTGTTAGATGAATGCATAAATAAATCAGTCAGTCATTGATGTTGCAGAGTTGTTGATGCATTGCTGGGCTTATGCCAGGTAAAAGAGGTCTCCAAGGAGCCCCCTCCACCCCAGCCCCCAGAAAGGTGAGCTGAGGCCAGAGCAGGAAACAGAGTACAAGCATGAGATGTTGGGGTTGCCCTGTGGGTGGATGCCTAGATCAGGTCTACACATTTGGGAGACTAAGCCTTAGGATCAGTAGTGAAGAAGCTGAACCTCACTCTCCTGTATGAAGACTGGATTGTGGAAGTGAGACCAGGACGGTTCCAGGTCAGTGAGTGCCATCTGATTTTTAGCAGAATCAAGTAGAAATCCTAAGAAGGAAAGTCTCCCATATTTAAATTGTCAGAATGCCTCCAATTTAAGATCAATTAAATATGAGCTTTCTGTCAGAGAGTCACAAAAATTTAAATTGGATTTAGAGCCCTGAAGATTTCAGATACTGGAATTATTCATTACAGAGTATAAAATACATGAAAAAGTAACAGCTAAGAAATTTTCAGAACAGGTGAAAAATAAGAATCCATAGATAAAGGAAGCACAGTTTATCCCAAGCATAATAAATATTAAAAAAAAAAAAAAAAAAAATTCACACCTAGATCAGTTGTGGTAAAACCACAGAACACTGGGGACAAAGAAAAGATCTTAGAGTCAGCCAAAGGGGGGAAAAAAGGAAAAAAGACTGAGTATCTGCAAAAGAATAACAGACTGACAGTGGAGCCAAAAGTGGAAGAATATATTTCCATTGGTGAGATAAACTGACTGTTCACCTAGAATCATGTACCCAGAAAATAGATCTTTCAAGAATGGAGGTAGAATACCTTTTTCAGACTAACAAAAACAGTTGACCACAAATGTACCTTCACTGAAGGAATTTCATAGAAATACTTCAGGAGAAGAGAAAACAATCCCAAAGGGAGATTTAGAAGGATTGGCGATCGAAGAAATCCTAGATCAACATTTTCTGTATATAATGAGTCTAAATTTGGAAGTTAGCAAAGGTGTAGCAGCAGAGAAAAGACAGATTATTTGACAGATGGTATTGGGACAAAGTGGGTGGCCATCTGGAAAGTAATAAAGGTAGATTCCAGCTTGACTCCTTATATTAAAATCATTAATTTAAATGAAAATGTGGCACACTAAAATACTAGAAGAAAACATGGGAAATTATATTTAAATCTTGGAGATGAGTGGAATTTTGTAAGTATGACAGAGAGCCAGAAGTCATAAAAGAAATGATTGCTCCCTGATCAGTACATTAAAAAATAAATGAATGGCCAAAAATGCCATAAACAAGTGGGGTGGGAGGGAAGTGGACAGATAAATACAGAGAATGTTTAGGAGATGGTATGGAATGGTGATTGACTGGTTGGCCCTGGAAAAAGGGCAGAAGAGAGAGAGAAGCCAATGAATGCCCCCAGCCAGGTTTCTGACTTGAGCCACCAGGTTGATGGTCGTTCCATTTATTAAGATGGGAAATAATGAAGAACTAGGCTCTGGAGGGAAGTCAGATTAATTTTTGGACACGAGTGTAAGACGTTTGTGAGACAGCATTGTAGCTATTAGTAAGAAGAGAGATAACAAAGATCCAAAGTGTAAGAGCAAGGTCTGGGTTGGAGATAGAGATTTTGGAAATGATCATTATAAATGAAAACTAGACATTTAAAAAGATATGCATATTTACATGGAAACATGTTTATTTACAATATAGTAAATCTGAAAAAAAAGCAAGTTGTAGAGCAATAGGATTTCTTTTTTGTAGCAAAGAAAAAACTTTACACAAAGAAAAGATCTGGAAGACTCTATCTTAAATCATTACAGGGATTGGATTTATATTCTTTGTACATTTCTTTATATTTAAAATTTATTTTACAAGGAGCATGTACGGTTTTTATAGTTAGGAAATAAGGAGCTTTCATTCTGTAAATTAAATAAACATCCGTGTGACCTGATCAGGTGTCTTGATGCAGTGGTAGTTTAGAGTAGCAGTTTTCGAGAAGCGTCAAAGATCTTCATCTCCTATTTCAAGTCATCCCAAGTGGCTACATGTGATCCATTCAACTGTTAGAACAGCCCTGCTAACCATCTCTTTCTCATCTTTTAACTTCCTCTACTTTAGAATAAACTCCTCTAAGAATCTTAAATGATTTAGAAGTGTTTTTCATAAAACAAATATTTGAGTTCCTGTTCTAGGTACGGAAGATACCACTTCATACAACACAGACAGACTCCCTGTTCTCTTGTGGGAGGGCATAGATAGTAAACAACTGGTAAATATATAGCGTGTTAGGGTCTGTAAATGCTATGAAAGATAAAGAAGAGTAAGGAAGACCGTGTGCTGTGGATTATATTTCATCAGAGAGGGCCTCAGTGATAAGGTGACGTTTGAGCGGAGACATGGTAGAGCTGAAGGGGTGAACCATACACACGTTGGGAAAAGGAGGGGAGAGATTTCCAGGGCAGGCAGCAGCAACTGCAAAGGCCCCAAGATGACAGCATGCCTGGAACTTTCAAGGAACAGTGTAACTAGAGCAGAGTAAACAAAGGAAATGTGAGTAGGAGGTGAAGTCAGGGAGGTAGCGAGGTGCCGAATCATGCAGGACTGTATGAGCCTCTGTGAGGATTTCTGTTTTTACTCTAAGGGAAGCCATTGGTTTGGAAGAAGGTATGACATAATCTGACTTATATGTTAAAACGATCCCTCTGGCTGCTGTATTGAGAATTGATCGACAGGGATAAGGGCAGGAGCAGACCTGTTTCACATGTGTTGAACCAGGGGCTGCTGATGGGTCCTGGATATATTTTGGAGGTAGAGCTGTAGAATTTGTTAAAGGGTTGTATACGAGGTGTGAAATAAAAGGAGCAATCAAGGATGACCACAACGTTTTGGGGCCTGAGCAACTGAAAGGATGGATTTTTTATCCGTTAGGGGAGGCTATAGGAAAAGCAGGTTGAAGTGGGGAGAGAGAATCAGGTCACTTGTGGATAATTCTTTTCAAGATGTCTATTAAACAATCAAGTGGAGATGTTGATTAGCCAGCTGTACATGTGTCTGGGGGCAGTGGCGGTTCCGTGGTAGAATTTTCACCTTCCATGAAGGAGGCCCAGGTTCTGTTCCCGGCCAGGGCACCTCAAGCACAGCCACCACCCATCTGTCAGTGGCAGTTTGCAGCTGCTATGATGCTAAACAGGTTTCAGCATAACTTCCAGACTAACACAGACTAGGAAGAAAGGTCTGGCAATCTACTTCTGAAAAATCAGCCAGTGAAAACCCGGTGGATCACAACAGTCCAATCCTGTTGTGGTTGGGGTCACTACGAGTCAGGAGCCAACTCAACAGCAGCTAACAACAACATATATGTGTGTCTGCATGGAAGCAGTTTGGACCCTGGTGGTGCAGTGGTTAAGAGCTTGGCTGCTAATCGAAAGGTTGGCAGTTTGAATCCACCAGCTACTCCTTGAAAACCCTATGGGGCAGTTCTGCTCTGTCCTGTAGGGTCTCTATGAGTGGGAATCAACTCGATGGCAACGGGTTTCATTTTGGTTTTTATAGCTAAGCTTATTGCAGTAGCAAAGTAAGTATAATATGAAAGCTAATACCATCTGCTTATTTTTAAAATTAATAAAAGTAGACTGAAAAGGATAGAGTGTCATTAAAAATTAAATCATCAAGTTGGATCATAAAGATTGACTTAAAATAGAACTAGGTAAGTATCACATTGTCTTTGTATTTCTTTTTAAAGTTTCTCAATAGCTGTATTTATAGACCTTACTGCATGACATTCCTTTAAAAACAATTCAAGAAAACCATATAAAGTTCCAAGTCAAGCTTTATACTTAAAATTTGAAATAGATGTTAAACATTTTTAAGTTTTTTCTTTAATTTTCTGTAACAACATATTCAACAGCGAACAAACTGTCTAGTTGTCTTGGTGATACCGCATGAAAATTAAACTGATTTCATTCCCGTTTTAGGAGGATGCCCAGGAAGAATTTGGCTGGAAACTAGTTCACGGTGATATTTTCCGTCCTCCAAGAAAAGGGATGCTGCTGTCTGTCTTTCTAGGATCAGGGACACAGATTTTAATTATGACTTTTGTGACTCTATGTAAGTGTTAAGTGAAAATTAAAAAGTGAAAAGTACTTTTTCTAAATAATTATTTGAAAACCAGTTTTCCAGAGTGAGGTATGCTAGGCTAGATTGTTTCCAAAAGTCCTTTCAGCTCTCAGAATCTGTGTGCTTTGACTACAAATGACTCAGAAAAGGCTTAGCTGTGCCCAAAGGCTGACTGTTCGTGTCTCCCTTCAGCTCAAGTTTGAATGTTTCACCCTAAAGGAACCTAGTATTTTTAAACAGAACCAAAGTATAATTCATAGTGAGAATACTTTTTATTCATGTTCATTTTAAAAGCTGCATTTGAATCTCAGAAAAGCTGAAAGCCTCTCAAGCATTTGGTCAGCCTCCCTGGTAAAGAGAAAGATGGAGTCTTAGGAACTCTGATAAGAAACTTCCAAAGTGGAATTTGCCGTGTATGTGATCAGATGAATGCAGTGCATTAAATACCACGAAGATTCAGGGTAGCTGCATGGTAGCATAGTGTATGTGTTTTCATGAAGTTGTTATTTGTTTTCTTGTTTGAAAAATGAGAGGCTTCTTCTAACGTTACAACAAAGAAGACAGTAATACATTTTATAATAACTTCGAATTACTTATTTTTTTAGTTTTTGCTTGCCTGGGATTTCTGTCACCTGCTAACAGAGGCGCGCTGATGACTTGTGCTGTGGTCTTATGGGTACTGCTGGGAACGCCGGCAGGTTATGTTGCCGCCAGATTCTATAAATGTAAGCAGAAGCCACTCTGGGTGTCAAATCACTCATCTGATTGGCTACATCAATGGCTCTGAGCTTTGTGTCACATAGTTAAAGCTCTTTATAGGTATGTGTCATTATTTAAAAGAAGCCTGGTTGGTGATTTCTTTTGTAAAGTGAGTAACTCTCCCTAGATTTATTTTTTCAAAAATCTTGATGGAGTAAAATAAGGAAATTTAGGTATTGCTTATCCACCACTCCTTCCCTCCTTTTTCTTGTGAGTTTTGACTTACTTGGTTTGGGTGAACACCTTAGATTTGCTACTTTCATGGAAGCATATATAGACTAATAAAGGAAGAAAGTATACAAACGAACAGTTGCTGATTTATTAACTAAAACAGGTAATACATATAGGTATACGTTTCTTACATATGAGGTGTCATACTTAAAATCGTGTCAATTCAGTATTTATAAACATCATCTGTATTTAAAGTAAATTAAGATCTCATTGTTTAAAAGAGCCCTAGAGTAAGTTACTTCTGTAATATAATTAGTTACAATCTCTTGTGTTCTACTTTCCTGAAATAAAGTTCAGTTGAAGAAAGGGTCAGGACCACAGAGTGAGGATGGGATGTGATGAGATGACTTAGAAAGCAGCCTTGCCAGGGTCAGTGAGTGCTAGTCTGTGCCCTCCTCAGGAAGGCTGAGGTCCTTTGAGGTCCATTGAGATGGTCCCATGGGTAATCTATGACTTACAGTGCCAGGGAGACGAGACAGATCTAGGATTCCCCACAGCTTTCTGAATAAATTTGAGGTAAAATACAGTAGGGTTACATAGGTGACCTTAAGGTGGGGATTAGGGTTTCAGCCCCAGGTAGAAATATTAGCTAGACTTTGCCAGATACAATTCTCTACTGCACATGGGAAGTACTGTATGTGTGTGTTTTAATTTCTGAGTATTTTGTGATGTTCTTTTTTTTTCTTTCATACTTTACTAAAAGACACAGGGTTAGGGTAGTTACGTATATATATGTGTGTGTGTGTATTTTAACATGTGTTAGATTTGGTCAGGACTCCCCCCATCCCCACCCTCCACACCCAGACAGCTCTCCTCTGCTACGTCCTTCAGATCTCCCAGCAATGGGTTAGGTAGCATGTTAGTTAGGCAGATCCCACATGATCCCAGTCACAAAAATACTTCATTTTATAGAAGCATTTCTAATATTTCAAAAGATAACTTTTTGAGTTTTAATTGGAATTGTATTAAACCCAGAATTAGTAATTTCACAACAGTCTCTTTGTCAGTAATGCTATGAATTCAAATTGTGTGTGTGTGTGTGTATATACATACATATATATGTAATTTTGTCATTTTCTTTTAGTGTAAGTGGTACTTAAACTTGCTTATAAACTATGTTAAAAAAAATCACAGCTGTTCTCAGATCTCAGCCAGTTTCATCTCTAACTTTTAAATTGGGAGCAGAGGGGGTACTTTCATTTTTTACTCTATATTCTTCAGTATTTGATTTTTTTTAATGAATTTTTTGAAGTGAAATAAAGAAAATACAAATTAAAAAGGGGCAAAGTACATTTTTTAAAAAAGTTCATAAGCAAATTTGTTCTGTCAAGTTGCTATAACCCTTCTACTCTTCTTAATCACCTTACCTGACACGCTAATCTCCCCACCATGACTACCACGTATTAGAAACCATACTGCAGGGCTAGAGGAATCCTAAAGACTGAGACCTTTTATGAAAACGTAATGTGTTGCATGTCAGGCTTGGGGTTTCCTAGTTTTATAATAAATTCTCAAACTGACCACAAGATAAACTAGAATCCCCATTGTGCCTTTTCTGTACCCAGTCCCATTTATTGATACTGGCTTAGAATTTAGGGGGTTTGTTTTGTTTTGAGTTTAAAAAGTTAGAAAAGAAAAACTGGTCCAGATGGCTTTCTTTTGATAAATTGAGCTTATTTTATGCTCAGGCAAAATCTGTAGAGCAGGATTGTTCAGGGCGGACCTTTGACGTGCAGCCCTGGTTTGGATCACTCGATGAGGGAATTCCGTATCATTTGCTAGTGTCATTTCTTAGGACTGGGTACCCAGTGGTATGTAACAGTTAGTTGAATACCATTTGGAGTATGGGTATTTGGTTTGCTTAATGAAAAGTCTGTAAGTTATACTACTTTTGTTTTCTTGTATAGCCTTTGGAGGTGAGAAGTGGAAAACAAACGTTTTACTGACATCATTTCTTTGCCCTGGGTAAGTGAATTTTTTCAATAATTACTTTCTTATTATAGTTATGATTTAGTCCCCCAGTTTTTTATTCCATACATCTTTAATTCTCTCTGTCTCTAAACCATGTAATTAAGAAAGTGAATTTAATTTTTAAAAAGGATAGAAAGCAGATGCTTAATAAACATTTGTTGAATGGCTATTACACTCATTATCTGAGAAAACCACCTTTTAGACATGAGAAATTTTTTTATTCCTTTTCTTAAAAGTCTTTGTATTTCTTAGTCTGCAGTAGTTAGGCTTACCTGTAGCTTTTGACTTAATCACAGAAAGGAACCCTCACCGGAAATTAGCTCAGGCAAGTATATGTTTTCAGATTTTTATCAAAGTATTATCACTTTTTTTAGAGTCTATTCCATTAAGTAGAGGAACATATACCAAAAACAGAAAAACAACCACCACCAAAAAAAACAGCCCTTAGCTCTCCAAAGGACAGCATCAGATATCAAGTATCTGATGTGCTTCTGCTTCTGGAAGTAGAACCCACTTTTTCCTCAACCCCCAAATTTCTGGCAGGCAAGAACTAACCCCTGTACGATCAACAAGGTTAAATCCAGAACACTGGGACTGTACCCTTTGCAGGTCAAAAGTGAAAGAGCTTTCTGGCCAGAAGTGATTGATAAATGACATTTTTATACAAGTTTGGTATAAGCGTTCTCTCGGATTATTGCTTCCGTTGAAGATTCACGTGCCTCTCAGCCAGTCATGTTCTGTTCAAGTTCTTATGCTTTTCTTAAGCCACATCCTTTGTCTTCTTTCCTCTGCTGTAGACTCAAGAAGTGTCCCTCTTTACCAAGACTGTCTCGTAAGTCCCTTCAGAATCCTGCCTTTCAAGCATTCTCCCTGATATCTGCTGTCTCCGTTTCTCCTTTCTGTGTGTTCTGTTCGTGTGTTTAATCTCACTCCTACAAATACACTTCTCGTTGTTGTTGTTTGCCATCAAGTCGGTTCTGACTCATAGCGACCCCATGTGACAGGGGAGCTGCTCCGTACAGTTTCCTAGGCTGTAATCTTTACAGGAGGAGATCGTCAAGCCTTTCTCCTGCAGAGCCACTGGGTGAGTTTGAACTGCCAGCCTTTCGGTTAGAGCTGAGCACTTAACCATTGTTTAGGCCTCCCAGACCCTAAAAAGAACTTCCCATAAGCATCATCCCTTCTCTGATACCTTGTTTCTTTCTATCCCCAGTAAAATGCCTTGAAAAAAAAGTCTACAGTCCTTTATTTTCATTTTTTCAACATATGTTTATAGTGTATATCCATCTTTTTTCCCCTATCACTGAAACTTTCCTACGGTTTCTGGTGATGGTCCCATTTTCAAATCCAGAAACCATTTTCTTTGTCTTTACTCTCTACCTTTCTACATTGTCTAACATTGGAATACTTTCTCCTTGAAACTCTTTCTTTTTTGGCTTCATAGAAATTGTCCCATGCTGGTTCTTCTTTTACATCTCTGATCAGCCCTTCTCTGATTTATCTTCTTCATCCCCCCTTAAAAGTAGGTGTTCACAGCGGTAGGGTGGGGTAAGTGGAGAAAGAAAAAGATCTGAGAAACCGAGTATTCTGGGGGCGGAGAGGAATTGATGTTCACCTGGGGTTAGAAGGTTCATTTAATAATAGGAAGCCTCTTCATGTAATTTTACATAAATAAACACCTGCATATAATTATTGCAGTAGATGTAGAACATTGGCATTTGATAATATAAAGCAGTTTATATATATATTTTTTTTTTAATTTTTAATGGATAGAAAAATACTTCCTTCATTAAAAAAGAAAAAACTCCTATCTATAATTCAAAACCAACATCATGTAATGGTGACACACTAGAGTCATTCCCATTAAATCACTTTTATGGCGTAAGTTATTTAAGTTCTGTTAAACACAGTAAAGTATGAAACAGAAATAAGAGGAATATGTTTCAAAAAGGCATAGACAGAATTATTATTTATAGATAACATGATCTGTATACAAAGAGCATCCAAGAATTTCAACTATAAAACTTAGATTTAATAATGAGTTTGTCAGAATGGCTGGATATCAACTAAATATTCCCGGATCCTGAATCCCACCCATAACTAATTAAATGTTGGAATGGTAATCGTGGTGTAGGGAGAACACTGGTCACAGCAGTATTAGCAACAGAAAACCTGCACAGTACCTGAAATAACATCTCAAATATGCAGATCCATATGCAGAATCTACAAAGCAAGAAGACCAAATATTCTGAAGGGGTTTAGAGATGCGCAGTGGCTGCCAGATGTAGAACACAGAAATAGACCATGTGTACGTGGCAACGTGCTAGATGTGGCATCACAAAGCAGAGGAACTGTTAAATAAATGATGCTGGGACAGTCGATTGTGGATATGAAGAGAGAAAAATCTTGTTCTTATCTCACACACACACACACACACACACACACAATCAGTTCCAGGTGGATTGGAGCCTGAGTGTAAGAGGCAGGCATGACAACTGGATGAAAATATAGAAGAGTATTATATCTTCGTTGTCACAGGGTAGGAATGTCTTTTTTAAGCAAGGTATACAAAGGATAAAGAAAAAAATGATAAATTTGGTAACATTAAAAACTGCAGGGTATGTAGAAGTGATTATAATATGATTACAGCCATGTTTTTAAAAATGTACTCATAGAAGAAACACTGGAAAGAAATTAACTAAATACATTGAAATGTTTGGGTTGAGAAAAAGTCACAGATGGGAAGAAGAAGATATTTAACAAGGAATTAGTAGGTGAAATATACAAATAACTCACATATATGATTTTGAAAAAGACATGAAACCCAAATGAAAAATGTGCAGAGGGTGTAACCAGTAAGTCAAAGGATGTAAAACCTAGAAAGCCAGCAGACACAGGATGCTCGGCTACAGTTGTCAACAGGAAAAACAAGTTAAAATAACAAATTTGATAATTCCACATGGTTGAAGATTATGTAAAAGGTAACTTTCATAAACTGCTAATAGGAGTTTAAGTTAGGCAAAACTAATCTGAACAGCACTTTGGCAATTTCTAGTAAAGTTTTAAATTCACATAACCCTATGACT